CATTTAATTTCTCATGCAAACATTGATGCCTCAGTACCTCCCCTCCACGTTTAGAGGCGCGCATTTTAAGCAATCTGAAACACACATCGACAATCAATATACACACAGAATCGCTCGCCTGAATTCCTACAAGTAAAACCAATAGTCAAATAGTCAAATCACTGATGTAGGTCGATACTATCCTCACTAATCTCATCGATGAGTAAAGAAGAAAAAAAACAGTAAGATCGATATCATTTTTGACATATGAACAGTGAAAAAAGTAATTCTTCACTCGAATGGCTTAAAAAAAAAAAGTCCAAACAGAAAAAAAAAGAAATGATTTCGCAGATGTTAGCCAACAATCGAAGTAAGCAATAGAAATTTATTGATTTATAAGAGATCTGAAGCAACGAAGATCAATACATATGAATAAAACTAGGCTTTTGAAAATCGATGAGAATTTCTTTTTTATATCGGAGCTCTTGCCAACGGTTTAGGTATCAGCTAAAATTTCCTTTAGGACCAGTTAAAAATACAGCGTACATTTGAGAAAAAAGTGCTATGACATTCCGAGCAGCCATTAGGGTCAAGGTTCGATCCTTAGTGCTGTGATAGTCAAGTTCATTAAGAATAAATAAACACTAACATGACCTGAAATAAATCACTTTGACTCAAGTAAAACTCACCTTACTTCCGAAAAAACAGGCCATAGAGTTTTGCATTCCCCTATATATATATATATATATATATATATATATATATATATATATATATATATATATATATATATATATATATATATATATATATATATAAAAAAGAAGAGAGGTACCGAATTAATCCACATTACAACCAAAAACGTTTGGAACTGCTATAAACTCTTCCTTTTATATATATATATATAAGTGAATGTAATGGATCTCCGATTCCTCAATCCAAGCCGCTATATACTCGATATACTTGATAAATACGTCAGCATTCCCCACCATCACTGTAATCATATGTCCCGTTATTAAGATGGATGTGAATACATATCTCTCTTTTCTTTTTTATTTCTATTTTCCTTTCCTAATTTTGTTTGTATATCTTTCGTCTTCCACTCTTTCAATCAACTTATTCCTTTCGGGAGATATATCTCCCCTTCAACCCCTCCTACCATGAATTTAAACCTGCCCCCTCAAACAAATGTGTGTATAAATAAAATAAAAAATGATAATACATAATTCTTCTTATGACTGGGACATTTGTCACCCATTTATTTGTATAAAAATGCTCGATCTAAGGAATTAGGATAGAATTTCTATTCTAAGGAAATAAATTATAATCATTATGAACTCTTAAAGTTGTCAGTTTCTTAATAATAATTAATATTTTGCTCTGATTTTATATTGAGCTCTCTGGGTTATATCCTCCTGGAATTATCCATACCAAACACATCATTAACTATATATATATATATATATATATATATATATATATATATATATATATGTTGTCATCCGCAAACAGACTGTTTCGCTGGATCACAGCTCTTCAGTGTGGTTAGACGTCCGATTACTTCAAGCCGCGATGGAAATCCGACTTTTAACATCAGTCAGACATCCTACCCCTAGGCTATCGTCGCACGGCAGAGAAAGGCAAATATTTTTTAACGTTTTTTCTATACAAAATACGCCAACGGCCCGGAGAACTCAATTCGTACTTGAAGAGTAATGCACACACACACACACACACACACACACACACACACACACACACACACACACATATATATATATATATAAAAAGAGAGAGAGAGAGGTGTGTGCGCGCGCGCTTGTGTGTGTATACAGGATGCAATGGACAAATTGTCGTCTAAATTACGCAAAATGAAAATAACATTGACTTCTCATTTTGACAGAAATATTTACCAAATATTTACCCAAATTACACAAAAGTATCTTGAAATAGTATATAGTACATTTATTCAATAATATCGCCATTGACTTCAACCATGACCTCCAGACAACTTCAGAATCTCCTGCAACTCTTCTGGACAATGTCTTTGCTTAAATTGGTGAATGCTACCATAATCCTTGCCTTCAGTTCATCTTTGGTGTTACAAGGTGTTTTGTTGGTCTCTCTCTCAACTGCGCCGCACCCATAATAATCAAGGGGGGGTGCAGTCTGGTGAGTTAGATGGCCAGATGTAAGGGATGATGTGGTTGTCGAAATTTTCTGACAGTCATGACTGAGTTTTCCTACTTGTATGGCATAGTACAGAGTCCTGTTGCCAGACATAAGATCTTCCATCACCCATTCTTTTAACATAGGGCAGCACTACCTCCCCAAGATATTTAATATAGGCCGCCGTATTGAGTTTGGTGCCCTCAAAAAATTCGGGTGTTCTTTCTTACCAGAACTATCCGAGTGATATTTCGTACGTTCGTAATCACCATTAGAATCATCCAACTCTTTCCTAATCCTCTGCAATGTCCTGGGATTGACACAGAAACATTTTGAGATGTTCGTAGTGGAACTTCTGGCGCGTCTGTAAGTAAATTTCCCCGTCCATCAAACCATGAAAATAATCCTTAAATCTGTGAAAATAATTCCATTCCACCTCCATCTGTCAAAGCAAATATCCTCAAAAAATCATTGCATGCCTGCACAACTAAAGCTCCTTTCTACGACTATAATGGCAATATTTATAATAACTAGGCGAAAACATCTTCCATTTCAAATTTAGACACCCCCACCTTACCCTGACTTGACATCTATGAAAGTAACTCTATACTGATACTTATTATTAATACCCAACACACCCCTACCTATTTTAAACAATTCGCCATGGAAGTTTTGATTTCAATAATGAATATGCTATTAAAACTCGTAAATTTCAGAAATAAGTTATTCCAAAAAAAATTTCGCTTGAAGATGGAACAGAGCTTACTTTAATTCAATTTAATTCAAATAATTATATTGAAGTTTTCGGCTCTTGCTTAGAGACCTCTTATGTCGCGAGTTGGAATTATATTTTTAAATAAATAATTATATTTATGCTCTACTTTTATATCGAGCACTATTTTTTAAAAATAATAACTAAAATACTAAGGAACTTTGGATTATTTACCTAACCAGTTCTCTCCTGTTTTCTATATATTTTCACACACACACACACACACACACATATATATATATATATATATATATATATATATATATAACACATATAGTGCTGGTGTTAATAAAACAGTGCTCGATGTAATATAACAGAGCTATATATTTATGAATAAAGAGAATACTTTGTCGAACACGTTTTGTCCTCTCAGGGACTTTATCAATTCAAATGAAAGGATTTTATTTTAAAACAAGTATTTATATACAGGAGCAAAAAAATGTTTTTGATTTTTCAAATATTTTAAGTTTTGGAACGCTCAAAAATATTCATCAGGTCAGCTAAAAAGTCAGGCAAACTATGGAAGACACGACGTGACACAATTCAATGTCTAATAAACGAAACTGAGTAAGTGATTTTTTTGATTTTTTTTTTAATGTAAATTAGTATTTAAATTATTTAAGTGTAGGATTAATTTATGTGTTATATATTTTAAATAACACGAGGTGATGAATTTAACTGTTTTCTTTCAATTTTTTAACATTTTTATAGTCATGTGTGTTGGCTTGGGAAAGTAGGAATTCTTTCAGGAATTTTTATACTTATGTGTTTTGTTTTGATATTGAAAAAAAATCCGTGGCGCAGATTTTAAAGAAATTAAAAAAAAATCGTATCTCTGAACACAAAAGGATATTACATATAACAATTTATGAAATGCATGACTTATTCATAGAAATAAATTCAAGCACAACTTTGATCTGCAGAATGCCATATTTATTAAAAGAGAAAGTAGAAAATTCTCGAGAATGACTCTTACCAAAATATAAATGTACACTCTGGATTTTTAATCTAGTATTTGTCATGCAACAATTTCGTTACTTCTCCAAAACTAGAGCGTAGAAAACATCTAAGCATTCGTATTTAACCCCTCAGGCAATCGTTCTAAGAAATCCAAATCTATCCCTCGTCTTACCAATGTTGAGCTTCCATTTTACTCCCCGAATACTACATTTAAATTCTCCAAGCATTCTTTTCTTATTACACATCTCCGTTTCCGCTTCATTTGGTGGAGGGGGGGTGTTGTCCAGCAATCACTGCTAGATAGAAAGATTGATTTTACATACCAGCTTTTGCTTATTTCCCAGGAAATTTTCCCATTTCTTAATACTTTGCTTAGCTTTTAGAAGGCGTCTTCCGCCATTCCAGTACGACTTCGGATTTCGGTGTCACATTTTGCATCGTATTTTATAACACTTACTTTACTACAAAAATAAATAATGTTGATCTACAAATCATGTTTACCGTAAAGGGATGAAACGTTCAGATTTTTTTTAAGCTTTTCCCCCCAAGCAAGGCGGGAGTGCTACTAGCACGCAAGGACTTTCAGGGGGTGACAGAAAGAGTATAGAGGCGTGACAGAGGAAAGAATGAAAAGAAGAACGGGGAATAGATCAATTCATCTGGATATGTCGATTGACATTGTATTTGAATAGTTGGAGATTATAGCTATCAGGGAAACAAGTAAGAGGAAGGGAGTTCCACAGATGGGAAGTGCGAGATATGAAGCTATTGGAGTAGAAGAGACGGCTACATTTAATCGCTTCGACAATGAAAGGGTGGGACTGAGATGCCGACCTAGTAGTGCGTTTAAATTCATGCTATTTGGGAAATAACGAAAGTCGCTCATCGGAGCACTTACTGTGGAAATGTTTGTAGAAAAGGCAGAGGGAGGCGACGGCACGTCTGTGAGAGAGCGACTAACGAATTATTTTATATTATTATCTACCCATGAAAAATCTTTTACTGTCTTCTGGTTAACACATCTGTTGTGAGATGCCGCCAATTCGCTGGCTGTTAGACTTTTAAAGGCAACTGGTTATCAGATAATGCTTCAATGAGCTGAATATATCAAGCACCATTATTAGGCGTGGTGAGACGTCACACGGACAAGGTACGCTCGGCTTCCTGCAGTAGAAAAAGAAAACCTCGATTCTCTGTTAGATAGGGCTTTCTCGGGTCGAAGGCAGCGAAGAAAAAAGTAGGTATGAATAATGGTCGAATGAAATATCGTTGACAAGAATAGACTTGACATCTTGTTTTGTAAGCGAAGGGTGAAAAGAATTTGCCAATAAACCGAAAAGCGATTAAAATCCCGATTAGATGCGATCGACGATAAGAATTTACGACACGTGAGGGTGTTTGATTTAAACTTAGTTGTATATTTTCCAGTCAGAGACAGGCTCAGTGGGTGGTCCAAACACTACACAAAGAAGCGTCGACTCGATGTTTAATCTGTAAGGCATGAAATATGAAGGCCATTATTGATAAATTATAATATATAATTATAATATGATATTAGTAATTAATAATATTATAAACTGGTTAAGAAAAAAAAGGTTTTTACTTCACAGCAGTTGGCGTCTATAATGAATGTTTGCAAGCCACACACTGACAGTTGGTGGCATAAATATACCGATTGAACGACACCTCTACAGAGGGGAGTAAAGAGGGCATTTTTATTGCCGTACGCATGCGCAAACATAATCCTTTTGATTCTCGTTTAAATCAAACCTATGTTTACTTTTTCACTCTCATGCAAAACAAACCTATGTCTACTTTTTTGACTTTTGTGTAAACCAAACCCATGTCTACCATTTTCATTCTCGGGCAAAATAAACATATGCCGACCGTAGTAAACGCTCGTATGCGTCGAACTTTTCTCCTGTTTTTGACTGTCGTGCGATAACTACCTGCCCATCATTAAATAACATGGATATATTTGATATAATGTAAATCAAACCAAACACTTTGTAAGGAACATTGATCAAGTACCTAAGAAGTACCTTAACTGAAGCTTGTAAAATGTTTAATGACACGCTAAATCTTAATAAATATGAAGATAAAGCAACAATAACGAGATGCAATAAGAGAATCCATATTACCCAGTAATTTATTTCGTGTAATATTCGGGAACTGTCTATGTTTAATGTATGCCAGTAATCGGTTATCTCCCATCTGCTTTAACAGGGTATTGAACTCACACTCTTTGGGTCCTGTCACTGGATCTAACTAACGCCTTTATCCACTGTGCCATGTGTCCTCAACTGACAACCATTAAACATGGCACGTAGAACTAGAACAGTCTACCCCAGCGAGCGAAATTAAGGGTTCAGATCGACATTCCAACCATCTGAAGAAGGCCGGAACATAAAACGGCCGAAATGTTGTAATAATATGGCGACAAAGATGAGGACAATAGTCCGAATAATGTAAATAGTGTACATAATACCTCATCTCAGAAATATAGACAGATACTGAAAGACCGAAACGTTGTAATAAATATGGCGACAAAGATGAGGACAATAGTCCGAATAATGTAAATAGTGTACATAATACCTCATCTCAGATAAAAAATGAACGGAGAACTTGGAGAGGGGAATTAACAGGAGATAACTGAAAACTGACAGCAATTAGAACTAGAACAGTTTACCCTTGTGAGCAAAATAGAGGGTTCAGTTCGACATTCCAATCACCTGAAGAAGGTCGGAGCGTACAACGACCTAAACGTTGTAATAATTATGGCGACAAAGATGAGGAAAATAGTCCGAATAATGTAAATAGTGTAATATTCAAGAAGTATTGAACATAAACAAGAAAACGTCGTTGTCTGTTATATTATAAAGCGTCTAAGAATATGATATCCATTCTAACTTATGATCTCTTAAGGCTGACAGAAAACAACACTCTCTCTTTGACATTACAATAAAATGTCATAAAAGTCAGTTACGGATATTTATGTTCCAATTTTTTCAATCATTTCAAATCCGCTTCTAGTTTCCATTTCTTAACTCAATTCAAGTGCAAAATTAAAGCTAAAATCTTTCATTTTAATTTGGTATTGAAATATTTTCGTTAAAGTGTTTCATATTGATCTGGGCATCAGCCGCTGGTGCCTTTAGGAAATAGTTCAGTAATCTTTACAACATTAATAACGTTGGCTTTCCAAACTAAACTTTTCAAATATATATATATATATATATATATATATATATATATATATATATATATATGTTTTATATGTTTAGTTTGAAAAACCAACGTTACACACACACACACACACACACACACACACACACACACACACACATATATATATATATATATATAAAGTGAACATTAAGTCAACACTTAGAGGCGACATGCTGTTTCATGCTAGACGCAAGCATCAGGCGGCCTGACGATTGCGCCTAGTATGAAACAGCCTGTCGCCTATGAGTGTTGACTTTAATGTTCACTTTTATATTTATATTTACATACGCTCTATCTCTGATATTGAGCACTTTATCCCATAAATAAATATATATATATGTAACGTTGGTTTTTCAAACTAAACATTTAAAATATTATATATTGGTTTTTCAAACTTAACATTTAAAATAATATATATATATATATATATATATATATATATATATATATATATAATATTTTAAAAAGTTTAGTTTGAAAAACAAAAACATTAATATTATATATATATGTATGTGTGTATATATATATATATATATATATATATATATATATATATATATATATACATACATATATATATATATATATATATATATATGTGTGTGTGTGTGTGTGTGTTCATTAAATACGACAGACAAGGTACTACTATTATACTTTTTATTTAATTTTTCTTGTGTTCGAACAAGTGCTTCCTTTTTGGGACAAAGATTGTGTAGAAACTGTTAAAATGTTCTATAGTTCCGAGTGATTTCAGCTATACTTTTAGTCATTATCAAAGATGATTTTATTTTTTCACTTTAATTGAGTGTGTGCGTTATGTGTATGTTTTTAATGTGTTATAGAGATGTTTTATTTCTGAACACGGTTAGCACATTGTGGCCTTGTTCTTAGTTAATATTGTTAACAGTTAGCTTTTTTATTATTATTAGGGCTTCCATTATTTTTAATCTTTTTTACAGGTGGATGATGTTATTATGTTTGTGATTTCTACTAGTATGTTGATGAATCTTAACTTAGAAATATAACGAAATACATTAACCCAATTGACCTGAATAAAAAATCAAATTAATTATCTAACATAGAAAGTTTAAGACAGCTAATCTTATACTCAAAAACATCCACACACCTAAATCAAAATTACAAAGAACGAACGTTATCTACGAGTTCAAATGCCCCTTAAAGAACTGTGTTCCTGATCAAACCGAAGTCATAAATAATTACATTGGTCACACAACTACATGCCTATCAAAAGGCCCTACATTACACCTCTCTGACCATAGCTCTTTTAGAATCCATTTAAACACACACACAAACTTACCAGATTCAATTCGAAACATATTAGTAGAAAACAATAACATAATAACCTGATCCACCTGTAAAAAAAGAAAAGATTAAAAATAATGGAAGCCCTAATAATAAAAACGAAAGGGCCAACGCTTAACAATATTAACTACGAACGAAGTCATAATGTGCTAACCATGTTCGGAAAATAGAGCATCTTTATAAAATACGAAAAACATACAAATAACGTGCACACTCAATTAAACTGAAAAAATAAAATCATCCTTGATAATGGCTAAAAGTATAACCGAAAGGGCTCGGAACTATAGTACATTTGGGCAGTTTCTACATACTCTTTGTCCCCCCCGCCCAGAAAAACACTTTTTCGAACACAAGAAAAATTAAAGAAAAAGCTTAACCGTAGTAGCTTGTCTGTCGTTTTAATTATATATATATATATATATATATATATATATATATATATATATATAACATTTAGTTCTAAATTTTCTTTTGATAATGTGGAGTTGCCCCACTTACTGTCTTTAAAAAATGCTGCTAGGTGACTCTCTCTAAGCCTATAAATAGGAAGTGGCATTCTCTGTCATCCTATTTTTTGTTTTTCACTCAGGGACGGTAAGATGTAGGTCGAACGAGGAAAACGCTTTCCCACTGGGGAACGCACCCGCACGCGCATACGCGTACGCACCTTTCACTTCATTTTTTCTAGGACATTCTCTACTTCAAACTATACATACACACGTGCATACACACACACACACACACACACACACACACACACACACACACACACACACACACACACACACACACATTAGTTTAAATGTTTCTTTCATTCATGCTCATTGTTATTTAACACGCAACAATTTCCTATTGTCTATGTATACCTTCGTTTGTCTCTGTATATAGTTTTGTTGTTACTTTTCCATTTTATTACACAGACTCACATTCTGAGTCCGCCATTTTTGTTGAGGGATAAATATACGAGGAGAAACGTGTCTTTCTGACCCCAAAACGACCAGCACTCCAGCAATAGATTGATGACCACGACGCGATGTTTTTTCTCAAAAACACACAAAACTGTATAACAACTTATCTATCTACCCTACTACGCACGGCGGACACGAAAAACTTACAACGAAAACAACTTACAGTTACAAAATTTGTGATTAGACCCAATGAGAAGAGCAACATCGCAAATTTCTAAAAGCTAAAGCACATCTACACAGCGTAATTATCTGAACACGATGTTCTCCAAATCAACAAATATTTCCTTGCAACGCGTTTGACCCCCCACCCCAAATCCCTAATCGCTGTTGCAATTGTTACTACCACTGCACGGCCAGCAGGCAAACAACACGTATCTCATCTCTACTGCTTTTTGCTTAACATTTTCTTTCTCCCAGTTCATTACGCCTGACTTTACCTCAACCGGCAGACATCAGAATTTTTTTTTCGCCAAAACGAATAATACGACTTTCGACTTATAAGTTTGAGGCACGCAAAACAAAGTTAATTTTCTTCAAGACCACACGAGAAAATACCATTTAAACACCACGAAAGTTAACTCCATTTTCAACTATAAGCAGCACTGTTTCTCCTGAACTCAGCAGATAAAAGGTGAAATAATCCCAAAGGCGACTCACTGACTTTTTTCACTTAATGATTTTAAGACGAACAAACTAAGAAATATGCAATTACGATTTAATAATACACGGAGACAGCTGCGTCTCCGAGAAAATAATAATATCATATATCTTCAAGTGTTCTCGCAGTTATTCAACACTCGGTAGAAATTTCACCAACATCGCTTAACAACTTTAAAAATCGACGATTCTTCTATTAAAATTTTGTGCGCCATCATCATCCACACACAACAAACGAACCAGGTCTTCCAGAAAAAATCAACGCAGAGCATTGGAAAATAAC